ATTTGAATCTTAATATTTCTCATATTATGTGTAGGCAAGAGGACAGCTAAATTTGAGATTTGTTGTGGACAGAAAAGTAATACTGGTAATATAAAATCAGTGAAACGCAATGGATCAGTCTCAGCTTTGGAAATTAAGCTTGACAACCTGCGGAAGGAACTCTCTTCCATTCATGGGGGTATATTCCCTCATGCTATCTTGTCCACTCAACAGATTAGTTTGTTAAGTGCACAGTGACCAACTTCCATCGAACAAGTATTTGCTCAAACATCTTGGTCTGTCTTCTGTGTAATATCTGAAATGCATTAACTTATCTAGGCATTTTTCACCAGCATCTCCCATCTCACCTCTGCATCACCCTCAAGGAAGTCAAAGAGAAGTGTCATTATGCAATCCACAATTATGTTTAGTCATTCCACTTCTAATCGAAGGCCTACTTGGATGGAAAAGAACCCAAATTTATATACTGACCAATATATACTAGGTAAAATAATGTTTCTGATTCTCTACAGTTAAGGATCCATTACTTAGCTTGATGTCATGATAAAATCTTGGGTTGACGGTGTAAGAATGGGAGTTCCATCCCTCCCAAGACCCCTGATAGCTGGGACCAACCTTGGGTAATGTCCCTTTTTATTTTCTGCAATTAACATAAGGGAGTTCTGCATTACAGCTTAGTGATAGAACTAAAGGGGTTTAGTGTAGTTTCATCTTGCATAACCAATTGGTTAGTTGATTTAAATGGTCAAGATTGTGGTTGAAAAGGAACTCATGTATTGTCTCTTGCAGTTGGAGAAGATAATAGGGAAATTGAAGACAGAAAAGCATGGAAAGAGAATTCTTGAACAAGTTGAGCAGTATCTTGAATCTGGGCAACCTGATGAAGATAAATCAAATGAAGAGGAATGCAGTGAAAACAGAGCTAAGAAGAGGTTGAAGACCAAAAAGGCACCTGTTTTAATTGAGAGCGGTGAAGATGTAGGATGACAGCTCAGAGCAAAATATAATGTCATTGTGTGTGTTGCATTGAACTTAATCTGCCAAGTGAGGTAAACGCCTGCTATTACTAGATTGGAGATCTGTGAACTCCAAGGCAGTCCCTTTGTTACTATGGCCTGATGTCACCTTTCATATGGTCCACACACATGACAGATTCATGAGTCCAACCTGTTCAAGTTGTAAGCCATCTTTTTTTCCGGTGACTGTAGATTCTGAATCAGGAAGTCAGCAACTGTAATTCAGGTGATTCCAGGGTAAATTATTTGCAACTTGATATGCATAGTTAAGTGGTGTGTTCATTCCATGCCATGGTTTTCCTTGACAAGGACACATGTGACCTGTGAACTTGTTTGTTTTGCGGCAAAGCATTGGCATCACTTGCATATGCCAGTGTCAAAAACACCAAATGGTGACCGTGGAGCTAACTAGATGGGGAGATACTGAAACTAATATACCAATTTCGGTAGCAAGTTCCCGTTGTTCATTTACAATTCTACAAATGACTAATTTATGTTACAAAAGAGAACTTTAACGAGATGCTGAGAGAAAAGTTAAAAGAAAAGACTTCAAACGGTAGAAGTTGCCAGATGGGGTGTATTATTTATGATTCTAATGCCAAATGAATAACAATTCTTAGAGGAAGTTGAAAGACGATGTTAAGCGGCCAATACTTGGTACGCGAATATCAAAGTATCCGAAATGTTAAAGTGTATTTGAAAGACAAATGTAAGAGACGTATCGAGATAAGTCTTGGATACACATGGATGTAGACGAAAAATTAAGATATACATGGAAATGCATGAAAACATATAGATACTCTAATAAATTGTAAATATACATAAAAAATATTAAATATAGGGCCTAGAGGAGATATGTATACAGATTTCATGTCCTTTAATGATTTTTATGAAAAAAAATGTCATAATAAACATAATGGAAACATATTCTCTAATAAGGTTATAACTACAAAATATAAGTTTAATTATTAATTAATGAAACATTTTCTATAATTGTTTAAACAATTATTTATTTCTTATTCAAACAAGTATTTTATTTTTATTACAAAAATTAAAAAATAAAATGTAACAGAAAAATAGTTTTATCGATGTGGTAGATCATCCATAGATTTATAACATGATAAATATTATCTATCAAAGTTATCATTTCAAACACAAAATGTCGTAGAAATTATAAGAAAATTAAGAAAACCTTATATGTATAATAAAATAATTGGTTTGAGCAATTGGGCAGTAACTAACCCATTGACAACACTACCTCCTGCCTAGACCTATTCATGGGTCGGGGTGGCCGGTCCAACTTGTTCTATATTGGGCTTGGACAAATTTTTAAGCCCTTAGGCTCAAGCTCCCAAGTCCAAACACTAGGCCTGACTATTTATGGGGCTAGGCTCTAGTTTTACCAAATAAGCTCAGTCCAAGCTTGAGTCTAAGCCTTGCTTGATAATATTATATATAATAAATATATAATATATTATAATATATAATATATAATATTATTAGTAGCAAAAAAGGTATTATATTATATAGTATTGTTTATAATTTAATACATATAATATAATACAATATATTATATATAAGGCCTAGGCCCAATGGTCGGGTTGGGCTCTAGCTCGAGCCTGGTCTTTTTTTTTATAAGGTTGTGCTTGTTTGTAGTATAAATACAAACCGGTGTAATTAATGGTCTGGTCTGTATTTGTTGACGTTTGGATGGAGTGTAGTTTTACATCGATAATTGATGTAAATACAACTTCGATAAAATCGATTTAAATATTTACATCGATAATCACACTTTTCACTTTACAACGGTTCACAACTTTAAGTAGGGGTTTGGCATTGGAGCGTTTCACAAATGTTCATTTTCTGTTGATGTGTCATGCGCACCACGTCAACAATTAAACAAAATCAGTAAAAAATGACATTTGACAGCCTTGTTTCTCAAAAAAAATGTTTTTGCAATGAATAGTTTTGAAATTCAAGAAAGAAGGGGTTTCTTGAAACGTCAAATGTTCGTTTCTTGAATCACCTTGATGATATGTCACATTGAAATTTGAAAAAAAAACTTACTATTCTTTGAGATGTTACATAGTTATCATTATAAACATATTATAATATTAAACCAAATCACTTTAAACTGTATCCCTTTATTTGTATTTCTAAAAAAGCATATAAAACAAATCACTTATGAATCCAGGCCTAATTGTGAAACGCTCCGATGCCAAATGGATCGGTGTTCCATCTATATACTTTTACTTTTACATCGTATTCAAACGTAGCCAAAGGGGTAAAACCTGACTCCAACTCGGGCCTATAAAACCAGTCACTGAATCGAGGCCTAATTGTGACACGCTCTGATGCCAATGGATCGGTGATCCATCTATGTACTTTTACTTTTACATCGTATTCAAACGTAGCCAAAAAGGTAAAACCTGACTCAAACCCGACCCGAGTTATGATTTATGAACAGGCCTATTTATCCTCAGCTTCCATTTTTAAAACTTCTTTCATCCGTCCCAAAACACCCAAGCGATATTATAGCCCTATTACAAGCGATATTTGATCTCCAAAAGGCCAAATTAGTGACACAACGGGTGGTCATATCACAAAAACACATGTGCCCATTTAACACGTGAGAGAAGGGGCATTTATGTAAAATTGCAAGTATTTTTATTTACATAAATAAAAGAATTATAATAAATAAAGACAACTTTTAAGCTCTAATATCAATAAAAATAATATTTTTAATAAAATTTAAAAAAAATAATTTTTTTAAAAATAATATCAATTGAAGGTAAAATACTGTGAAAAGAGTGTTCTAACTCCTACCGATCCTGCCGACGGTCTAGTCTCCGCCGAAGAGGAGCGTTCGACAAATCTCGGTCCCTCTGAGACTCCAGACAGCCCAGTAAGATCGAAGCCACCGTCCAACAAGTGCTATGAGGAGTGTGAGCAGGCGCTTTGGATTCTGAACCCTGTTGATAGAAGCTGGTTCTCATCATTTTTGTCCTTTTTGGGCGAAAGTTTCGAGGGTAAGAATCATTACCTCGAAAGTACAGGGTGTCAGTCTATCATTTACCATTTACCACTATAGTATAATTTACATTTACCATTTTAACCCCAACTCTTCCGTGTCAATCTACACCTTGTAGTCTGTCCAGCTTCAGTTAGGCAGCCCTACAATCGTAAGGTCCGAGGTCCAATCCGTCTATTCATGTGGGGTTCGGGTCGGGACCATCCGCTACAAACTCATCATTCTGCCCCATCCTCACTCCTCAGCTCTAGCTGGACTCTAGTATTTGAAATTTTAAGACCAACATAGCGTGTTTCCATCACTATCCACGTGTCCAATCGGTTGGGTTGGTTACGAGTGAAAAAAAAAACCTAAAAACTGAATTGACTCGAAATTTTGGTTAATCAAATTAATCGGTTCGATTTCGATTTTGGTTAACTAAAATAAAAAACCGGTAGTTAGTCGAATTAACCGATATATATTTTATACTTTTTATACATTATAAATTAATGAATATGTATTATGTATAAATATATATTTATAATATATAATATATTATTCATTATTTAAATATAATATATATATATATATATATTTTTAGTATTTTATTATATATTTTTCTATAATAAATATGGCCACTTGGCCCCACTCGATAACCAAAACCGAAACCAACCCGTTGCCTTTGATGCCTTACCAACCGTTCGTACACGAAAACACATGGTATGTTGCAGTTTTTCCATTCCTTTCGAGGTTTCCATTCATCATTTCACAGCACAGGCAGCAAGCAAAGCTTCATTTGCCACGTGGACAAACTATAGATGGTTTAATCCTACATGGCAAAAATAGCGTCTACCAGCTTTTGTAGAGAGCAGAGAGTCAGAGACTGTAGACTGTAGTCCTTTCTCCTTAGTTGTCACCCACTTTTCTGCACATGTCGCCACCGCGTAGCTCCGACCCAATAAAAGAGAGGACTGAGGAGAAGAATAGAGGACCAAAAAGGTGCTCCATTTTGGCGCACGTGTAGGCAAGTTGTACTCCATCATTTTCCTCCATGTTCTCTATCCCCGAACGGTTTCACAGTGGTAGTTCCTCGGGAATTCTCAGCTTTTCGTAGATATATCGTCTACTCCTACAAATTTTAATTAATTAATTGATGATTTAATTAAGAAAATATTCACTCTGCAACTGAAATATAATTCGAATCCAGAGTTCTAGGGTTTAATCTGGAATTTCGAAGGTCGATGGAGAAGAAAATTCTGTCTGGGAGAAAATACTCGTTGAATTTAGTGATTAGGGAGTTCTGGTGATGGTTTTGGTCTGAAAGCTGATTTGTTTCCTAATTTTGATCGATCGTGCTGTTGGAATCTGAGCTATCGAGCTGTAACGAAGAGGAGGTGCTTCATGGAGGCAATTCGGAAGCAAGCAAGCAAGCTCAGAGAGCAAGTTGCAAAGCAGCAACAGGTATTGCTGTTAACTTGTTTTGATTTTTATTCGTGGTTTGATGGTTGGGCTGTAGTTCTTTGCTTTTCAAAGAGAAGAAAAGCTTGAGCTTTGGTTGGTGATTTTGTTGTGGTTTGTTTTTAGGATGATCCTTTGTAGAGGAGATCAATTCGGTTGATTGCTATTCATGTTATTGGGTTGTGATGTTGTTGTAAAGCTCTTGAAATGTTAGTTGGGGTTTGATGTGTTGGCTTATTTCCAAAATGTGTTTTTACTCTTGTGGAATTGCATGCAGTTGGCCATTACTTATTTGGCTTTGGTAGAAGATGAGCTATACTTTTTAATCTTGTTTTTGTTAATCGATTTGTATTTATCATGCAATTTCTTGATACCGGGCGAACAAAGCCAGTTTCCCATGGTTGCACTGTATATGCCTTATGTTGGTTAATTTCTAATGTTGCATTGTTTTCTAAGGCAATATGGTATTGTTAAAAATCTCAGATTTGTTATTATTGGTTCTTGCATCATAAGAAAGTGATGGAGTTACTAGACTTTGGATGAGAGAATCATGTTGATGAAAGATTTAACTCCTGGATTAATTTAGGTATCTGAAATGTAAACCTATAACGTAGGTGATCAATTGACTGTATTGGTTCCATATAGACAAATGGATTGAGTTGGTATAATTTGGATGATACAATAGGTTAATGGTTAAACTTCGTACTTGAATATGAATTTAGGAGTAAACTCATTTACTTCAGGGACACCGTTAGAAAGGCACATATGCTTGTCACATGGTCTGATGGGAATTATTGTCAATATCTGTTTTCTGAGCATTTACTGTGGTCATTAATTAATTTATTATTGATAAAGAAAACATGTTATTGAGCCAATTATCTACCATTCAAGTTAGATGGGTTCTATTTTGATCATATCTCAGTGGCAGAGTGTGACTAGCTTGAGTGGATTGATGTTGAATCTGAAGCACTAAAGGTATTAACTGGAACACATTGAGGTAAAGCTCTCAGCCCTGATGGCTTACCCATGCCATTCCATAAGAAGTGTTGGAACATGATGTAGAATGACTACATGAAATTGATGGATGAATTCCATAATAGTGTAAAACTATGTAGGACTGAGTAGAAGTTCTTCATCACTTTATCTCCCAATTGTAAGGAGTCATGAACTTCAAGATTTATATGCCAATTAGTTTTGTATGGTAGGTACAATTCTAAGCTCATTTCTAAGATTTTGGTGAATTGGGTGGAGGTAATGGGCTTCATCATATCTGTTACAGAGTGCTTTTTTGACAGCTGTTGGATGATATATGGTTTACTAGTTTCTAATTTGACTTGGATAATGAAAATCAATTGAAAAGATTATAATTGCTAAGATGGTATACTGTAGTTGTTTTGTTTTCTGTTAGCATTGGTAGTATTATTGCTTTCTTCACCTTAGGTATCTATTATAGCACAAGGAACATGTTCAAATTAAAATTTTGGGGTGTAAGTTTCTCTTTTCATTTTGATTCTGAGCATTGATCTTCAATCAGATATTGATGCTTTTGACTACTACTTTACAGGCTGTTCTGAAGCAATTGGGACATTTTGGTAGTGAAACTGTTATGACTGATGATGATGAACTACAATGCCACCAACAACTTCAGAACCTATATAATTCTACTAGGGCAGCTAAGGTATGTGATCCTTAAATTCTTCTTCATTCAAGTTGCAAAACACAAGTTAAAAACTAGGGTTTAGAAGAGAGAAAGCAAGAGGAGAGAAGAAGAAGAAGAAGAGATGTATCAAGAGGTGTGTGTTAGTTACTGTTCACACCCTCAAAAGATCTTTATACTTTGAAAAGAGTAAATTATAAGGAAGCCCTACTTAGGTGCCCAAATACAAAAAGAGTACAAGGAAAGAGAATAAGTCCAAAAACATCCCTGTCTAAATATTCTCAAAACTCTCCCTCAAGCTGAGCATATACGTCAATCATGCCCAGCTTGTCAAGGTTCTTAGAAAACTTTGGATGGTGGACACCTTTAATGATGCAATCAGTTAGTTGGTCTTACGACCTTACAAAAGGAAGGCAAATCTCTCCGCTAGCAACTTTTTCTCTAATAAAGTGTCTATTCACCTCAATATGCTTTGTACGATCACGTTGGATAGAATTGTGGGCAATATGTATGGTTGCTTGATTGTCACAATATAGTCTCATTGGGATATTTGCTTGGATGCCTATCTCAATCAATAAGGTCTTCAACAAGAGTAGTTTAGACACTCCATGAGCCATTGCTCTATACTCTTCCTCAGCACTAGAACAAGCAACCACAGATTGTTTCTTACTTTCCATGAAACAACATTGCCTCCCACTAAGGCACAATAACTAGATGTAGATCTTCTATCATCAATGGACCCTACCCAATCAGCATCTGTGTAAGCCTCAATCTTTAGATGGCCGTGATTGGAATACAACATCCCTTCACTAGGGCATCCTTTCAGGTAGGCTAAAATTCTGTTAATTGCCTCATTGCCTGCATATGAGATGTCTTGGGTCCATGCATATATTGGCTAACCACTCCAACATTATAGGATATGTTAGGTTTAGTCAAGTAAAGATACAAAAGGCGGTCCACCAATCTCTGATATATTCCCCTGTCTAGAAGAACTTCTCCTTCAATGGAACTCAACTTGTGGTTAGGATCAATTAGACAGTGTATGCCCTTAGCTCCAATCAGATTGATGTATCTTTTGACATTTATTGTAAATGAATAAAGTACATAATTGATTCATGTCATTGTGGTATGTTTCTATTTAATACCCTTAAACTGGACATTTATGAGACTCGTATTAGTTTAGAATCTTCATAGCCGTTGGATAGATCTTGGGAGATTTATCCTGCCAAGGCTGACATTGATGTACCGCCAAGTTGGCTGGGGTGGCTTGTCTCAGCTGCCAGGGTGAGACCTGAGGTACATGTAGTGTGGGTTTTTCTCGAAACCCTGAACCAGACCAAAATTCTAGTGTTGCCCTGGACCTTGGAGATAGATGGACAAAACTGGAATGTTATTCCTGACCCCTATACTTGATTATGATACTACACTAGGTGTCGGATAGGGTTGTCTTTGATATGCCAATCAGTGAAATCCTTAGAGGGGGTCAAAACCTGGGTATGTTGGGACAGTCCGAGAATTCATCTGAGTGGGTGATCATAGTAACAGGATCAACCCCTTTGTCGAACAAAGTGAGTGATCGGAGATTCACTCTCTTTGATGGAAACCTAAACTGTCGGCAGTTGATTTCAACCATTGAAATTTGTTTTTGCAAAATATATTTATATAGAGATATACATATATATATATATATTATGGTTTCAAAATGTTTGCAAAAGGTTTTAATTCCCGGGATCCATGGGAGTAGAGAGTGCAGCACTATTCCTCGCAACTGAGGGAGAGGTCCTCTCTTGTCGGACAGTGTATGATCATTAAGGGCTGAGAGGTTAAGTGTAAGACCATTGAGGGTAATGCCTGATGGGCTAATCTTGCATTTGCCTACAGTCATTGGGTTTTCATAAGGTGGCTGGACCCAAGGACCATTTAGTGTAAATGTTAGGTTCATTAAGAGCCCATGGTGATGGACTTAGGGGTTCACTGTCTCCTACAGTGAATTCGGCTAGGCCTTGTAACAAAGGCTGGGCTGAACCCATGTGGCTGATGTGTAAATTAATGTTTGGGTCCCACGCCACACAAAGAGAGCCAACTGGGCAGCAGGTTAAGAGGTTAAGTGAGCACATAAACTTAAGGAGCTTAAAGCCCAATTCGAATTAGGCTCAAGTCAGTTAATTAAAAAGAGGCAAGATAAGATTTATAATCTGATTAGGATTAGCTGAAGGATAAGATAAGTCTTATCCATTCAAGAATCCAGATCCAAATATCAGATTTGGATTAAAGAACTCTCTCCTAATTGGATTAGGAGGCTGATCCTGAGAAGGCTATAAATAAAGGGGGTGAATTCCTCAGTTACAAACAACAGACATTACAACAGTTTGCAGAGTTCTTCCCTGTTCTTTCTGCCCCTACCAATTCGATCTCCACTTGTGGGAGTGATCAAGAATTGTTCTTGACATTGCTTCTTGGTAGAATAAGCAATTTGAAGTCGTGCTCACCAACCCTCTACTCCGTTCTTGCTGAATAATTCGGTTCTTGCTGAAGAGCTGTCCTGCTGATCCTGCTTCACCACACACTGTCATTTTCAGTGGAAACGGGTTTTGGTTTTCTCCTTGGGCGTGAATACCTTCATTGGGAGTTACTGCTTCTTCGTATCAGGTATATCCCTCTCCTCCCTTTTGGTTTCAGATATGGTCCAATCTGGTTCAAGATTGGTCCTTGAAAATGCAGTTTTCTAAAATAGGGAATACGATTCTCAGATGGGAGAGAGATTTTTGAAATTTCGCTTTACCTTCCTGCAGGGTTCGACCATCCATGTGATGAATCTCTCATCTCTTCAGTGGTATCAGTGCCATGGTTCAAATCTTGAACCGAATTAAACTAGATCTGAATCTGCGCAAATGAGCAGAAGGCGTTCTACCCGATTTGCGTAGTTAATGTTTTTCTGGGAAATCGGTTCCTAGTTTTTGGGCGAATGATCTGAAATTAAATCTTTATTAATCTAATTTATATTTAGAATTGTTCTATATATTTTTCTTGGATTTTGGGCTGTTCGTATGGTGGAGATCGAATTCTTTATTTGGCGCAAGAAATCTGTGCACCTGCTGATTTATTCTATTAATTCTTGGTCTTTAATTAATTTTAATTTTTAGATAGAATGTATAGGAATTCAAATATGATGTAATATTAATAGAAAAATTAGGTTTTCTATTTTATTCCATTTGAAAACGAAGCAGAAAGCGCAAAGGAGAGAATTTCGTAGATTCGGGTTCAGCGTTTTGCAATTTGCAGTTTTGGAAACTGCATACTACGAACTAATCTTTGTTTTGTAGGGTAGCAGTCTTACGAACAACCTTCTTATTGATTCTTGATTGTCATGTATCAGTTATTTAATTTCAGATCATCTTCTTGAATTGAATGTTGAATTAAAACATCAAACCCTAAATCCATTCGAACTAGATTGGACCAAACTGGTTGGACCAAATCTGTGGTTCGATGGGGGCTGTTCTCAACCCTAAAAATTTCCTTCATGGGCCGAGGATTGATGGTTAATTGCAAGATGCAATTCGGCCCACATCTGTAAAACCTAGTTTTAATCTGTTAAAACTGCTTTAGTCCAATTCAACATAAAAGCTATATGGGCCGAACTACTCTTTGCAGTTCAACCCATATACCTAGATAATATTATTTGATAATATTATGGGCTTTAAATAGGCTGAAAAGGTTTTAAATTTAATTATGGGTTTTACAGTTATTTAATTGATTAGATCAATTATGGATTACATGCATGTGATGCATGGTTGTGTGATGTGCTACGTACATGGGCCATAAGCACTTGGCCCGTGCTGATTCGATAGTGGCTCTTTCGCACACCATGGTTGAATGCACATCATTGCCATGGTGTCCTTAAGATCATTGGATGATCTCCCTGCATGGTGGACCCCACACCTCCCCAAGAGGAACCGTGCGGAACCCTAGCCCTTTAGGGCCCATCTAAATTTGGCTTTATGAAAGTCAGTGGGAGCCACTTTGGTTTGACCTAAATAAAACTAGGGCGTAATTAATCGTTCCCTCCTGAAAACATAAGTGCATGTGATAGGGAGATTCATGTGATGAACTCTCTAAAGGCCTTCCATCATTAGTATGAAGGTCGGTTGTATTAGTGGGTGGAGATGCACCATAAAATTGGGTTATCCATCTGCTAATGCAATTGGCTGGATTGCTTCATAAGACGATAGGGGCGTCATACACCGATATGGGAGGGGCCTATCCTAAAATGGAAGACTCTCTCACGGTACCTTGGCGTTCACGAATATGATGGGTAAGCACTTACTGGACAGAAAGGTTTAACCTAATGGCAATGAACCTTGTCTGATAGAGGCCAAAGGGAAATCTCATTAGATGAGTGGATATGATCCTTCATAGAAGGTGGTGGGGTTATGCAGCTAAAACAGTTGGCTCCATGCACCCCATGTGGTTTTCCACATTTCCAGAGACACAACTGTCTCCATTACTAAAATTGGAGGGAATCTCAGAGATGCCCAAAATGGAAACGGAACATAGATTAAAAGTCCTTTCTACGTGATGATATGAATCAATTAGGTTGTGGACTTACAAATCTACCTTGCCTTTACCAAAAATGGCAGACGAAAACTTCACTAAACTGTTGGATGATAACAAACTCAAGGGACCTAATTATGCTGATTGGTTCCGAAACCTTATGCTAGTTCTGACGTTCGAGAAATTGGACAAAATTGCTAAGAACCCTGCTCTAAATCGTCCGGGTGACAGGACTTCTAAGGCCCGAAAAAGAGAGTATCAAGAATGGGAAGAGAAAAACTCTCTTGCCCGGTGTTATATTATAGCCTATTTGGATAATCCTGTAGAGAACATTGATGTGGGCCCCACAGCTGTGGTGTCCGTAGGGTAGAATGTATCTAGTCACAGCTGTGGTTATTTTGCTATTCTGTTATTTCTAGTTTCAGTTTTATATTGGTTGTTATTTGTTAGCAGTTATGATGTAAACACCA